CAGAGGCACTGAGTTTTATAAATATGAGCATGATAGTGTACAATAATCATATCCAAGGACCAGTGGTGGGTTTCAAAAAATTTTGGAACCTCTTCAGTAGGTGTGGCCTGCTTTCCGGTAGAACCTCTTCTAACCGGTTCGGTAGATTTGATGAACCGGTTCTACCGAATAGGTGCGAACGGGTAGGAACCCACCTCTGTAGTGCTGCTTTCTCCCTTTATTTGCCTTTGAATCCAACTCTTCAAATAGATGACACAGACACACTGATTAAAAATATTTTTTCTATGTGACACATTCTCATATTTGAAAAAGAAATATTACAATAGGCTGCAGGGATGGGTGATCCTTTAGTTGTTCCTGAAGGCCTCACAATTCTTATATTTTTGACTGTGTGGGCTAAGGCTGATATTAGTTCAGGTCCCAGAATATTTGGACAATGTTGGCTGAACAATGACATCTACTTTTGTCATAGCAGTCTTTCTGTGCACAGCAAGAATCTATGAATATAGATTCAGTCCATTTGGTTCTTCTCCAGTCTCCACATACAAAGTTAACCTCCTTAAGATCTTTTTATCCAAAACAGTGCAACATAGGTGTGCTTTACATTCATTCTATGAGCTTAACTAATTCTCTGTGTCTTAAGAATTAAAGCATAGCCAGAGTATAGTAAGCATTCTCCTCTCCCAATTTGGGAGCCACCCAGAGTTTGTTAGATGGTGTGCAGCTATGTAAATATTTTAAATCAATCAAATAAATATAGTTTAGTGTAAAGAAGCAAGGTGGCTGACTTGAGATTTTTCAACAGATGCTAAGTACCCACAATAATACAACCATGTGCCTCCCTTTTACCTCAAGTTAAACACTTAATCTTGATGTGAAGCCATTGCCAACTTTTTTCTCCATAAATCTAATCCTCTCTTTTAATGATGGCTATTTTTACATCTTACAATCGTAAATTTTATGCTTTAATTATACTTCCTTTTTGCCAGTCTTTAATCTCTTACAAGTTATTCTACAAAAATTGTGGTCAGCTACAAATTCATTTTTTGACAAGTCACAAGAAGGGGAGCAACAAAAATCAAGCATCCACACTCTTAATCATTTATCTTTTTTTAAATAAGAAATTTATTGCAAATATAGAAATCGATTTTCTCCATACAGGAATCTCCGATTCAAGGGGAAAAAAAGTCGTGCCATTCAGTTTAAAACATGGAGTGGCGAGAAACAAAAATATATATATCAAATCAAAATTCAACCTAAAATAAAGTTAAATTTCAAAAATAAATCCCCATACACAACCAAGGTTCACAGGATTGTAACAGGAGGAGGAAACCCAAGTGGCTGGTGAGGACCCAAACCGGCAGCTGCCTCAAATTGTGTATTACATTCAAGGGGAGCAGAAGAGGGACTCAAGAAAGAAACTGGGGAAGGGGTTAACCCCCCCCCACTCTTGTACCCCAATTCTGTGCTTGTGGGTGGCAGGGCAAAGCTGAGATTCTACCCTTTTTATAAATGTCTCTTTTCCCACATATTGTGGCATAATAGACTGTCCCAAAGTGTTGTCCTCCAGATGTTCAGGATGCCGACTCTCTGAATTCCCAACAACTGGGAATTGTAAGAATTGCAACCCAAGTTGGGACCAGGCTAGGGAAGGCTTTATTACAGGATTCGGAGTGTAGGAGACACCTGAAAGCAAGGTGGTGTGTGTGTGTGTGTGTGTAGGGTCAAGAATGGGAGAAATAGAAATAAGGATCTATGACAGTGTTGCTTCATCTTGGCAACTTTAAGATCTGTGAACCTCAACTCCCAGAATTCCATAGCCAATGTGCTGTCTGGTGAATTTTGAGAATTGAAATCCACACATCTTAAAAGTTGTCAGGGTTGAGAAATACTGATCTAGGGATGTTCATCCATCCAGATGTTGAAACAAGAATGTGTATTTGTATTTGAGAAGGACAAACATCCCATTTTTTCAAGATAAGGTTACTGCCCAGGAGTTTGTAAAGTTAAATCTTCATTGTGAATAAGATACGACAGATAGATGCAGAGTTTTCTCCCAGTTTGCAATAGAAAGGACTATCCATGAAGAGATCCATTTCATGGAATAAAACATCACAAAGTACCTAAAAGCAAAGATTTTAAGAGCATAGTGGGTGTGTGTGTGTGAATTTTTCCTCAAACGCAGGAAATATTCCCCCACAAAAGGAAAAAAAAATAAAATTCAGTACAAAATACTTCACAGTGAAATTCATTAAAGAACAACTTCCCAATGTTGTAGTTCATACACTGTGACTCTAGGGAGGCTGTTGTCCCTGACCCTGGAAGGATTGCACTTCTAGTTATGTGCAGCATCATGGCTGTTGATCAATGGATTGTGGCCTCCATATAAACATGGGACTTTCCACATGGAAAGATGAGCTTACTATACACTACCTTTGCTACTCCTTTGCATCTTAGGCCAAGGAAACTGGAACAGATGTATCAGGTCTTGATTTTCTTTCTTCTGTGGCTGATTCTTCTCAAGTAGCTTTGGCTGAATTAGTGGTGATTAGCTCAGGGAAAGTTCCTCTTGCCATATTGTCTGAATAATGTACTGCATCATGTTATGCTTTTTCCATCTAACATATATAAACCTATATTTAAGGGGAGTGTCCACAACTGGCCAGTTTTTCAAGAACCCTCCAACTTGTTCTCACTCCTACTCATATCTGCTTCTTCATCCAGACTTCTCTTTCAGCAGTTTAATACACTATCTGTGCTAATCTTCTTATCAAAATATTTTTCACTGATAACTTGAAATCTAATCTGATCATTTTTTTCAGATAAATTTTTCACTCCCCCCTTCAATATTTTTTCTTATCCCACCATAAACCATTCTTTCTTCTCTTTTTTCATCTTGTCTTCTCTTTATTTATTATTATTCTGAATTCGATCTCAGAAATTAATCATTAGGACATATCAAAGAAGAGGCGAAAATCACAATTACTGAACTTTTGGTCTGTCCCAAGCTAAAACAAAGGCAGTGAAGATTCCCTGGTTTTTTTATGCCTATTTCACTCATTTCTGCAGTCACCAAATGCTCACCCCATAATTCCCCATTATTCCACACCTCCCTGCATTTGCTTGGCTCTCCTTTCAATAGTACCAAGAGCAACAGCACTTTGTAAGGGGGGGAGGGTTTACTGTTCCCTCTATTACCTTAATATGTGGATTAATAAGGTATTGGGATGAAAAGTCTCTTTTCTCTTGTTAACTACCACACCTGAAAGTAAGCAGGGGCAGAGGGTGGACAGGTGGCTGAAGGACAGCCTTTGAGGACAGCATTTAAATCCCTAAAATTAGCTTGGGGAAATGATGCAAAAGGTACAGATGTTTTATATATAGGATGTGAGAATTTCTGAGTATCTAAGGCAGGGGTATCAAACTGGATGCATCATGCAATGGCCACTGCCCACACTTGGTTTATTGAAGGGGGGTGGGGAGTCACGATACGTCACATGTGATGATGCAAGTTTGATCTAAGGGAATCATGAAAGAGCTTGAACTAGTAGTTAAGCTGCATCATTGAGGTTCTTTGCAACGACTGCTCTAGGGACATTAATTTGTTTAAAATTTAATTTTATTATAATTCTTCAGAATCAAAATCTAATCACTGCCACTTCTGCTTTATCTTCCTAAGATGTTTTTTCTATATTTTCCAGTCAGAAATAGACAGGGATTTATTCTGTCTTCTCGGGGACTGAAGTTTATTTACATGCAGCTTTCTCTATTGGTATAACAGTGTGTACTACTTTGTGCTCACCAGTTCAGACAAAACTGTTTAAATTCTGCTGTGTTCGTTATTTGGCAAGTGACAGAGAAAGTAGAGTAAAAAAAGGGTGAAATAGAGGGAAACAGAGAAGTGACTCCAGCAGACTCTAAGACATTTTCAATAGAAAGGTGTATATGTAGCTCAGGGTTGAACTTCTACATAACGAGGAGATGAGACAACTGATATTTCTTCTTTGCAATATTAGCAAATATCTGATATTTTTTTCTTTTTAGGGACACTTGAAAATCCTCAAACTGCACAGCCCTTGGTGTTCTCTAAGCTTGGCTCTTTTTCTTGCAGATGTTTCATCACTCAACTAGGTAACATCACCACTAAGTTCTAAGAACTACCAAGGAGAAAACCACATTGCCATGAACACTGGAAAGGCAAGCTACTGTAGATACAAAGGGAACCAACTCCACCTTCTCTCACACTGATAACGTTACATGGTTGAGTTTTGAAATGCTTCCCAGCAAATACCAAATACAAAAAACACCAAGGAGCCCACAAACATTTTCATAACAAAAGACTTCTAGTCCACCAGTCAACTTGTATATTGGATGGTAACTCTGCCTTAATTTTAGAAAAGCACACATCAATTTTGTTGTGTATCATTGTATCACTTTTTGTATCTGAACCCAGTTTTGATAAATTATGGGTTTGTGACAGGAACCCAAAATTATGTGGCTAAATAGCTGATGCCCACATCTTGATATATGAAAGTTTTATTCTAGTTCTGGAAAGCAGTGGAATTAACTCAGATTTGAACAATGAAGAATGTGAAGCAGCTTCACCTCTAGCCTTGCTCCTCTTATTGGTTAAATACATATTTGATTTTACCTATATTTAGTAAACCCCTTTCCAAAACCCCTTTCTATGTTTCTTAGCCTTTGCTTCTTTTCTATTCCTGTTGTGTTCATTAGGCCAACCAATCTCTTTCTCTCCCACCTTGTTCTCTCCCTTTTTGTTGAGGCCCACCTTCCCATGACCTCCTATCTGCTCCAGAACTTCCAGTAAAGATTTTGCAAGCACATCAGTGCTGCCTCAGCGAACATTCCTTTACATAAATTTTCAATTGTTAATAATGAATATTTCACACCCATCTCAAGAAGAATTATCTGGCAAATGAAGCTGGGAGAGCACTGCAGTATTTACAAGAGTTAGGATCTAGTGTACTCCAATTGGATCAAAACTTCAGTAGTGTCCTTTTTGCAGGCCAAGATTCAGTATGGAAAGACCATTTCTTTCTTGTTCCCTTATTCTTCTCCAAATTGACCACAGGAAGACAGACTGCATCCAGAATCTGTTCCATGAAGCACACTTCCAAAATTCCATCTTTGACGTTTCTGTTCCAATGATGTAAGAGGTCCTAGCAAAGGGAGCAGAATCCAACTCTGGTTTCCCCCTTTTTTTTTCATTAGGATAAACAAAATGTCTATTGCTCCATAACAGTTACATTATGGACAATTAAAGCAAGTTGGAAGCTCTCCAGAAGAAATATCAAGTTTCTTCTCCAGATTCCTCTAGGAGAAATGCTCTCCTCAGAGATGTTTTGGGACTTGTAAGGAAGAACTATGCTAGTGGGAAAGTAAATGGTGTGTGTGTCTTCATTTAGTTCATGTCTCCACTATAAAGGGCCTATCAAGAAGGTCATGTACACTACAGCATTGTTATTTCATAAACAAAACAAAAAGAACAGGAGGTGTAATCCACTGAGTCCAAGGGCACACAGTAGACACAATCCACTGTGTCCAAGGGGAGACTTTCCATGTAAACAAATTGCTTCAAATTCCCAAGGTGCCCTTAAAGAAGCCTTTTCCTTTGCAAGACAGCCTTAAAACTTGACTTTTTAATCTATTCCTGGACAGCAAATCTGCCTCTGCATCAGAAGAGCCAACTAGTGAACTAATGTTTGGCCAAGACCCAGGTGTGTTCTTCACCCAAAAGCCCTTACTATACAAGCATTTCTAAAGGCTTATGGGAGTTAATTGTTACAGGATGAGCATGAATTAATGGATTGGGGCCACGCCTCTGGAAATTAACCAAGCTGAAACCAACTCAGAGAGTTTTGCAAAGGCAGCGTGAATTACACTGGGAGGTGCTGTTTTTGTTTTTTTGTGTGACACCAGGTTTGGGTTCTCTTTGGAGTCCACTCCCTCCCAAAGTTTTCAAATTACAATGGTGGTCAGGGGAATATGGGGAAGTTAGGGGTGAGGTAAAAGGAAAGAGCAAAGGAGCATGATTAGGTTAAGTCTTGACAAACCAGCACATACACAAAAGATGTTTTTGCTCAGAAAAATACAATAAAATCATCATGCAGATATAATGCTTAAATCTCCTCTTCTCCAACTGCGGGTATACTTTGTAATCACTCCAAGTCTGAAAATAATGGCAGGAAAGGGGTGGATATGAAAGCAAAGGGAAAATATTGTTTCCCTGTTATCTCCCCTTTGTCCTCCTATCCCCTGCTGAAACGATCCCAACTTGTGCAAACTTTACCCACAGACTAAGGCTTTCATTGTAGGGCATAAAAAGGGTATGGATCGCTTGTGCCCTATAAATGTCCATCTTCTGGAAGATGCTGGGCTATGGTCCCAATACCATTTTTCCCCCCTGAATCTCAAATTCTATTCCTTTTCAGAGGGGGATCAGCAAAACTGAAATCAGTTAAAAAAAGAAAAAAGAAATCCCGATCTCTTACAAATATTGTTATGCCACAGTAGGGATTATAGGATGACAGACAGAGGCTGGAGTGAAGCAGTATAAGTGGAAAAGAGGGTTTGTTTGCACCATTAATCCACCATCACCACTCTTTACCCTGATTCCGAGTCAAAAGGCAAATTATCTCACTGCCTAAGGATTGCAAAAATCTATCTGGGATGGCATTTATGTTCCTTTTATTGGAAGAAATGAAAGAATTTTTAATTGTTCCATTTCTACAGTAAAAGCTTTCATTTCTGGGGGGGGAAACACTCAGGAATATTTTCTCAACCCACTCAAATATGAATAGCATCCTGGATTCTAAGATAGATTTGAACAATCCTATGGCACTGGGATGACCTAGGACTCATATTCTAACTCTACATGAGTCAGTGCTCCTCAGCAACACAGAAAATCCATCACACATCCTTTGCCACAGCTGAAATATGCTAAAAACATGTCCTTCTGGACAACCTTACTTCCACTTCTCCATCTCCTATTCCCTCCAATGCTTTTGGGGAGTCATAAACTGTGCTTGGTCCTGCTCTTATGTCAATCTAGGCTCAGGCAAGCATGGAAGAAATATGCAGCTGCAGGGAAGATATCCCACTTACTTTAGGATGGGACCATGTGATGTCCTACAGTCCTAGTGTGCTTGCCTACAACCAACCCATTCAAGGTACTGAAAAGAATCCCCTAGTCTGTGATCAATGTGTGACCAAACAGCACACAATACAGGAACATGCTGGCATGCAAAAACGCTGTGAAAAATGTCATCAATTTCTTAATAAATTCACTGAGACCAGAATGGATGTTAGTATCCTTCCAAACATTTGCCTCCTGAATTTTCAATGAATCCTAACATACTCTTTTTATTTAGGATTCAACAAGTTTCTCTCACAGCCCATGTTTTTAGTATTTCCCCTCAAAGTATTCACGTGTGGGATCCCAAATAGACTTCAAAAATATATATTCCAGACATTTATCCTAGAATACTACAAAGGATTTACTTTTAGGGTTCATCTTACTGACAGAAAGGACAGCTGGATCCCATATAAGCCTCAGCTCCTAGGATTTGTTTTTTTTGGAGTCCATCGCTATGATCTACTTTCACTTCACAAAACGTGTTTCTCAGGGTCCTTCTTTGGATTCCTCAAAATATCACAAGAATTCCTTTCTGGGATCACACTCCTCACTTGGTTTCATTACAAATGAATCCCTGAGATTTAATATAAACCAACAAAAGGCTGGCATTTCCATTTTTGAACTAAGTTTTCTGTCTTCACTGTTTGGGTAAAGAGAAGGGTCCTCTCCTGGTTGCTGGAGCACAGTGTCTACCAGAAGTGAGGCTAGGATGAAGGAAAGGTATCTGCTCCCAACCACTCAGGAACAGTGGCTCTTCAACTTCTTACTGTTTTCAGGAAGGAACTTTCCCAAGAAAGGATGTGAATCCCCTTTCCCATGTACACTACACTGTTAGCTTCTTGGTTTACTTCCCCGTGTCACCCAGGATCACATATTATTCCTACTATCTTTCTTCAGGGAACAATTGGGCAGAGGAAATCTTGCAAGATAAAGACAGACTAGTTCTGACTGCAAGGCACACATCCATCCTCAGTTTGAGTGTGCAATGTAGGGAAGCATAATATTTCTTTTCTTGCAATGAAAAGGAAGTGGATCAATTTGGAGTCTTGAATCTAGAATGTCTTCTTCTAAGAGGGCAATATTACCAACCATAAATACTTTGAGAAGTGTTTTCTCCTGTGAAAGTCCTTGCCCAGGGTGGTTAATCATTGAAAACAAATAGCTAATGGATTCCGTGGCTGTAGCCGCTTGTGCTTTGTTGGTGTGTTCTGAGATAGGCCAGCACCAGGGGAGAAAGATAATCTACTAGTGATGTATGTTTGTTGCACCTATGAATTCTTGTTGCAAGGCAGAGGTGTGAGCAGTGGAAAAAGGATATGCCATATCTGTTGTCATGGTAAAGTTTATCAAATCAGAGATAAAAGGCTATAGAAACATTTAGAAACATGACACCTCTTTTCTCTTCATACAAGAAAATATCATTTTGATACCATAGAAATCAATGGGATAAGTTAGCCATGATTTAAGTCCCCCATGAATTCATTGGAGCCAAGTGCAGCCTATCTAAACCAGATTTTACTCCAATCTATTCCTAGTAAAATACTTAATAATTTCATTTTTATAATAAAGCAGAGCACCACAGAATGGTACTCTCTAGATAGGAACATGAATGCGTCAGAATGTATGTATACATCTACACATCCACATTTACTTATCTGTGCAACTCCTTAATTAATCAATCTTAACTATGGTGATGAAGTTCTCTTGAGAACAACTGAATAACTCAACTCATCCCTTCACCAATGGTTTTGAACCATTTTTGCTGTATATTCTCCCAAGAATATAAGGAAATATAGTGGCCAGAACTTTAATACAGCAGCTGCAAAAAACAAACAACTAAGTCATGGAGAAGAAATAACATCAGCAAAATGGTAGGAAAATGGGTGAAGCTGGTCTGACAACCAATGCAATCAATTGGTATCTATGCCTTCATCCCATCCATGTGCTATTTGGATGCTCTGTTGGCAAGTCTGTTAATCCACTATGCATTACCTTGTGTAGCTTAACCACTGAATGTTTTCTTGAAAAATTCCATTCTTTTTCTTTTTCCCAGGGCAATCCTTCATTTTTCTGTTGCAAGATCATCCCAAGCTGTCTCCTCCCAGCCCCTGCAGCATTCTATGGTTTTCAATCTTGTTACCATATAGGTCCAATTCTAGCATTGAGGTGTAATGTTTTTCTCATGGAATGTCATGGATCACAGCCAGTTATTTTCAGGGAACGAGCCAAGATGGACCCGATCCTGTAAGGGAGCACAGTATATCCTGGGAAGGAGTTGTGTGCTATTCCCCAAGTCCATAGGCTGAGGTTTGTTTGGAGTTAGAACCCCTTGAGATTTTAAGAGGGGTTGCAGCTCCTGCTCTCCTCTCAAACTCTTATTTTGGCAACCACTCTTGGCCAGGGCCAGCACTGTATAATTCACTTTTCTTGGAAGACAACTGAAATTCTACTGAAATATGGGGATACTCCTTGAGAACGAATGTTCTCTCCCTTCCTGATAAACAATGAAGGGCGTAGAAAATACAGACTCTGTAATATATCTGCTTCATCTCCTACTTCTTTCCTCAATGAAGGAAAAATTACATCCTGCATCAGCCTACAGTTAATTGACAATCCTGAGCATGTGAGGATAGGCAAAGAAAGCTTTAGATGTTGTTCTTGCTTTGCATGCACAAATCTCAACAAAGACTGACGGAATAGAGAGCACAGAAGATCCTGAGTGAAACCTTAATGTGTGTTACATCTTTGACTTGACTTTGGGATCTTTTAAAGATTGCCATAAATGCACAAGCATCAGTGACTTGAATCCCAATATAGTTATGCTTCAAATATGTGCACTTGGTCATGACTAACTCTGGATTCAACCTACTCCATGATCAGTGCTACTCCATGATAAGTGCTAATGCAGCTGAGGTAATATTTCAGTAGCCTATCCATGTTGAGAGTATGTAGACCTTTCCCCAGAGGTCAAGCATGCCTACTCACAGGAGAGGGATGAATGCACATTTGCTACACAAATGCCCCCCAAACACAAAATTAGGTGACTGAAATGCTACTCCAGCTTTATGTGAACCTCAGAAAACTATCTCCCATGCACTAGGGCATTGTTTGAAAGAATCCTGGCAAGCACAGGAAAGAAAGGGAAGGATATAGAAGCAGAGTGATCACTCTCCCCTTCACTTTTATCAGGGAATGAGTAAAACCACTTCCTTTTTGGGGGGGGGACAAAATAAAAGTAACCAAAAAATGATGGTTAGCGTCTTAGTCTATGCCTGGTAAGCATCCCTCCCCTCTTGCCTCTGCTACCTACAAGTCCAGTAGCTCCTCTAACAGTCTTCCCCTTCTCTTCACCACAGAATAAAAGGAAAAGTCTCCTCCCCACCATCTGAAGGAGTAACAGTGGTCTCTGTAACACAAGAGAGACACTTCATTTCATTTGTTTTTTTTTTCCTGTTGGGTTTTTTTTGTAAACTTTAAGAAATGGTTTCAGTTTCTTTTGTCAGATTTTTGTTCCACAGTCAGGTGGGGGGAGGGTGTTAATTTATTTGTACGGTCGATTTATCTTCCTTTTAATGAGGGAGTCACAACTTTTGTTGAGCAGATACACCTTTCCAATAATCCAAGATATCATGCAGATCTTCATCCTTGGCAAACTGGACTTTCTTTCTCAGGGCATGACCAGCTGCCATATAGACCTCCTCCCGGTGGTGCTTCTTGTAAGGTCGGAAACGCTCCCAGATCTTATGGGTGCTCTCGGAAGAGTACTCTGGGCTGGAGGAATAGCCCGAGAAGTAGTGTCTAGGTGAGAGCTGAGAATATGTAGAGTCCCGCTTGGAACGGGAGAGCGGCTTAAGAAAGGACACCCGTTGGCTTAAAGTGTCACCACTCTCTTCATAGTAGAGGGCTGGGAAGGAATGCCGGTGTTCACTGCAGTGGTAGGAAGGTTTCACTTCTAAATGGTGGATGGCACCTGGGGACACAAGGGGAAGACGATCCAAAGGACTGTTGAGTGGACTTCCTTTCTCAATATACTTGGAATCTGCTTTGCTCAATGGAGGATGATCAGGTACATCCAGACTGAAAACCTTAGCACTTTTGATGGAGCCACTGGATGAGACACTGCAAGTTTTTCTTGCCACAGCAGCATCTGCACTAAGCTGGCGCTGCAGGGGATGGTGGGAACTCTCCTTATATGGTGGAGAGAGAAAACTTGGTCGCTCCAACCCAGCAGAAGAACTGGCTGGTATGGACTGGCATTCAAAAGCCATGTCAGAATCAACACCACCCCCTCCTCCCAAGAAGGAAGCCGAGTCCAGCTTCAGGGCATCAATGCAATTGTTGATTATCTGATTCACTTTGTCTACTTCCTTGGCAATTGTTGAGATTTCAGCTGCTGAACCTTGGCCATTATCCAGTTCATGCAGATCATCATCCCGCTGTGACCTGTCCAGCCCATCCCCACCACCGGTCCTAACCTCAATGTAATTGCCTTTTGTGGTGACCTTGGGAGTTTCCATGCCTGTATCCATAGATTTGGATGAAGGCAACTTCTCTCCAATCATGGATGGAAGAGATGACATCCGTGAGACAGGAATGACTGGTGGTTCTCCCAATTTCTGTGATGGATGTACAATTGAACTGGTATCAATATCTGAACCATAGCGCATCTCCAAAATAGTTTTTTTGACATTGAGAGATTTTTGTTTTTCCTCTTTCATCCTACGCTTCCTCAAGCAATAATAGACAATGCCAAGAATAATAACCATCCCAAAAAGGCAGCCTAATATGGTCATGATATAGTGGGTAGTGGTGGAGGTACTGGGTATTGGCTCTTCCCTCCCTTTACTCCTTGTGGCAAATGAGAGGCAAGTGTGGTTATAACGTTTGGAGTTACGGATTGAAGCAACACAGAATGTATAATCTGTGTGAGCCTTCAAGTGGGTGAGAGTGACTGATTCCTTCTTTTTCTTTAGTGTCATTACATCAGATATATAGCTGTTATTGTACTGAACCAGAACATACATCTTGCTAAAAGGGAATGGAATGGTCACCACTAAAACAGCTGCATTGATGGATACATGCTGGAGCTTTATGCTGGGGTTAGAGGAAGAATCAGTGGTGGAAGACGCTGGAGGTTCAACAGAGAGGAAATCACCTGGGCTAATGCCTGAGTTTTCAGCATTGTCATCTGGATCCCTCTGAGGATCTGTTATGAACTGTGTAGGTCTGATCCTGGAGATGGGTGGAAAGGTTCCATCCCCACACATTGACTTGAAAATTGTGATGGCATTGCGGCTGTGGTGTGGCCGAGGCATCAGAAGGGGATAACCAGCAAACTCCCGGGGAGTCTCACACTGCAGGCGATCATAGTTTTTTGTGACATTGTTGAAGGCTACCAACCACATGAGGAAGCCATAGAGGTTGCAGTCACAGTTGAAGGGGTTCCCAGCTAGCTCACATACCATCAGGTTGTTCAGGCTGGTGAAGGTGCTTCCATCTAGTCGGCTGAGACGGTTGGAAGATAGGTCGATACTGATGAGGCTAGGGCATTCCATGAAAGCATTGGGGGTAACCACCTCAATCAGATTGTGCTGCACAAAGAGGAACTGGAGCCGGCCCATGCCACGCAGCATGCCCTCAGTCAGATTGGTGAGCTTATTGTAGCCCAGCTGCAGCACCTGCAAATTTGTCTGGCCCATGAAAGCTCCATCCTCAATGTAGGAAATCTCATTTTTTGTTAGATTCAGATCTGTCAAATTACCAAAGCGGTTCAGAGAGGAGTAGAGCACCACCTTAAGTTTGTTCTCATTCAGCCTCAGGTCATGCACAGTGCTGTTGATATGCTGGGGAATAGTTTCATAGGGTGGTTGATTCTGACTGCAGATAGCGAGCCAAACATAGCCTTTGTCTCCTTCGATCAGCCAGCAGTCACAGTGGACTATCCCAGGAGCAAAAATAAAGAGCAGGGTGGCCACCCCGAATCCCAGATGGAGCATGGTGGGCTTACAGTGCCCCCTGTAGGCAAAAAGGAGCAAACTCACAGCCAAAATTAAGAGGGGGGAGGAGTCAAAACAAATGCCCTTGAAGTTCAACAATTGAAGGGCATGGACATCCCAGTTCTGTCATCTTATGTGCCTAGTTTCATAGACAGGTGTCAATGAAACAGAATTGGCTCTTGAGGTCAATCAAGATAAATGCTGAACTCCAAGAGGGAAATATATTTGTGTGCAAGTATATTCTCAAAGCCAAACAAAAGCCAAATGTTCAACAACAAATCTTCTTTGTCTGATTCCTCTATACCCTCCTTTCAAAAACAGCATGATGTGATTAAATGTTCAAGGCAGAGCTGCCCTGGTGTCAGGAACGTTTCTGGCTGGATGCAGCTGCTTCCTCCACTTTCTCTCACAGTCCTCTTCAAAGGGCTTCAGAACTTCACATCAAATTTGTTAAAAAGAAAGTAAGGAAGAGAGGAGTAGAAAGTAGGAAGGGAAAGGGTCGGTGGGAGGGAGGGCGGGAGAGAGGGGAAGAAAAAGGGAGAAGGAAAGAGATAAATCCATCTGTCGCTGAAATCTGGAAAGGAAACACACAAGAAATAAAGGTTATCAATTAAAGGGAAAGCTTTGAAACATCAAAAAAAAAAGGCAACTAGATTTCTTAGCCCCAAGAGGCTAGGGAGAAATGGAGTGGAAAGCAATGAAGGCAGAAAAAGGGGGTAAATGGAATTAATATTGTCTACTGTGTTGATAAGCTTTAGCAAAAGGAATCCTGATAACATAACTGTGCATACCACCCATAGCCAAGGTGTCCTCCAGTTCCAAGGTGTAATAGAGAGACAATTCAGAGAGAACATGGACTGTGGAAATATGTGAGAAGGCGAAAAATGGGATCTAGAGTTATATTTTGAGTGCTTGATTTGTCAACTTCCTCTGACAAGGATTTTCAGCTGCCCCTGAAAAGAAACATCTCCGCTGCATCTCTCAGTTGTGTACTTGTGCAGACACAGTCACACACACACACACACACACACACGCAATATATATACACACACACACGCAATATATATATATCAGTCTCCTATCTATTTTCCTCTTTGACGCACACAGATAAACAATTCATTTGTTGTATAACTGCTCTCGTTCTAAAAATAATTATCTCACTTTAACAGACACCGGTGTGCATGTGTGTGGCGGGGGTGGGGGTGGGGAGATGTTGCTGGTTAGTGTAGACTATAGAGAAGCAGGACCTTAATTGGTAGAGAGGAACGTATAGCTGTGATGGTCACAGCAGGACTGGATGCACACTGAGGCGGAGAGTAGATGTGTTAACACAGACAATTAGTTATCCTTCGGGCTAACCTTCCCCTTCAAAGGAAAGACTAACACTGTCATTAATGAGTGAATGCTTTATCCATGTGAACTACAGAAGTGTTTCCTCACTCATTAGCTTCGGGCTGTGTGTACTTTCATACTTTTATGTACGTTCATACTTTAGTGACAATCAACCCACAGGAAGTGTAGAATGCTGGTGCTACATTTGACATATGGAAGGCCTAAAAATTTTGTTTTAATCAAACAAACAAACAACATTCTACGAGATGCAGAAATAAATTGCAATTTACACAGATCAGAAATGGTCATCCATGAGGTTCACAAGATATAGGTGGAGAAGGGATGGATGGATGGATAGAATCCTGATATCCACCAACTGGAACATAGAGACTCATCATGGAAAATGGTGAATTGTAAATATATAGGGATTTGTTTTTAATGGAGAAACTTTAGCTCCTAACACATTTTTTTCACCGAAAACCTTTATTTTAGCTTTCTTGATTTCAATTGCCCTGTTTTACGAAGTTGTGGTGAAACCTTTTAGCTATCATAATATATTCCTGAGTCAGAGTTCCTTGCTGTGATATTACATATTCCTATAAACTAACCAGAAAACTCAATATATCTACTTCCATCTCTGGTTCAAGCAGAGCATAGTAAGAGTTGGGAGAGAAATGCAGGATTTGAGCAGGATTCATTCTTAGTTTTTGCTGCTTTGCTATTCTGTCTTTTTCATATCACAGAATTTAAGTTCATTTGCTGAAGAACTTTGATTTCTCTTTCCATCAGTATGGAGCACACATGCATGCCATGATATTTTTGTCTATAACTTCATACCAGGCCTGTAACAAAAATGCTATCAATACAAAAACAATTCTAGACCAAACTTATTTTGGAGAGGGGGGAGATATCTTCTTTATTTTTTTTCAATTTGTAATATTTTTAAAGAAAATTCAGCTATCATGTCTTTAAAATGCCATATTCCTTGAGTTTAATTTAAACATAGATGCAGGTAAATGCTTGACTTACAACCACAACTGGGCTCAAAATTTATGTTGCCTAGTAAGGCATTTGTTAAGGGAACTTTTCCCCATTTTACAACCTTTCTTGCCATAGTTAAGTGTTTCACTGTAGTTGTTAAGTAAGTAACATAGTTATTAAGTGAATCTGGCTTCCTCATTGACTTTGCTTGTCAGAAGATCATAAAAGGTGATCATTTAACTCCGGGACACTGCAATTGTCATAAATATGAGTCAGATGACAAGCATATTAATTTTGATCACATGACTATGGGGATGTTGCAATGGTCGTAAGTGTAAAAAATGGTCATAAGTCACTTTTTCAGGGCTGCTGTAACTTTGAATGGTCACTAAATGAACTGTTGTAAGTCAAGGACTACCTGTACTTCTTCAAATATCTTTATGAGCTTTCAGAACATTTCCTTTATCCCCCTTTCAGATCAAGATCCAATGCTGTTCTATCCTTTTCCAGCCTGGACTTTTAACTGGTCAAAACTTTCCGCAATTCTTCTCCTTCTTCACATTTTTTTTAATCTCCTCACCAAGTTTCTGTAGCAGTGCTTGAATTCTCATTCCATTCTTTTTTGACCTTCCCAAAGAATGTGAATGTGTTCTAACCTAGGCTCCCTTAACAAACATGAAGCAGAGTCTTGGTCCCAGCAAAACCTCTTTTATTTACGCGACTGTGGATTTCTTTCATTCAGTCAGCAAGTCTTTCAGAAGAATATTTATCAATATGAACCTTATCTTACTTGGTGAGCTGCCAGATAACTAGTTTCCAAATGCAAGACAAGGCAACACTTGGCAGAGAGTCTCTTATAGTCTCTTATAGTCACTTATAGAGTCTCTTATAGTCACAAACAGAACTTTCCACTCTTGAAATGACTGAAGCAACGAATTGTTTCCTGCAAAAGCCCACTCCCTGTTTGTTCCTCTTTTGTTTCCTATGGAAGGGGCCAATCACCTCCAAGGTGTGGCTTTACTCCCAAGTTGACCCTGCTTTCTTAGTTATTCTTGTCTTCTGGCACCTCTGTGCATGGACATACTGGGAACAGGCTCCAGCTATTCCTCTGTCTCACTGCTGTCTAGCTCCCTCTCTGCCTCCGATGCTTCCCTCTGAGCTTCCCTCAGCCCCCAGGACTCGTCCATGTTCCTCCCCAACCTCCTCACTGTCCGTCTCTGCTGCCAGCTCTGCTGGCCTCCGGCGGGCCACAACAGAAAAGTCATTAGACTTACTTCCCATTAAAAACACATATACACAAACGCAGACATATAAAAGCTGGTTTTTAAAAATTGTAATCTTATTTTCAAATAGGGTTAGACAACTAAGAAGCGTATTCTTTCATTATAGACAGTGCACATGAGACACACTGCCTCAACAGAAGCATTCTGCCTGCATGAGAGGAAAGATAAACTCCCCTTTGAAGAAAGTGTATTCTTCAACTGTTTTCTAAGTATTTGCATTTATGAAAATAACTTTTGGAAAATATTCTACTTTCTTAGTTAGAGACACCTTTTAGTTGATTACATTTTAAAAACAATTCACTGATCAAATATTTTTTTAATCATCATAAGATCTAGGACTATTGGATCAGATTTACAGAGTGCCTTAAAATGCATGAGGTTGTGATCATAACACAGGGGAGGCCCAGCAGTCTTTAGGATAAATTGGTGAAAAGCAAAATTAAAAGTCACCATCTGATGCCGGTCTGGTGAATATGAATAAATGAACAATGTTTACAAAGAAGAGAGATGAAAAGTAGAGTTTCCCCAAGTTTATTTATTGATATGGGTAGTCTTTAACTTGCTTATAAATATCAGGTGTTAAAGGCAAGATGGCCAGGTTTGCTGAAGAATCTAAAACATTCAGTGCAATAAAATGGATTTGTTCCATCAGTGGGGTGAACAGGTTAATTAAACATGACAAATATGGAATAATGTACAATGGATCTGTATAGGTCTGTCTGTCTGTGTGTCTGTGTATATGTACATGTGAACGCATGCCTTTGAGTCAACCTTGATTCCTGATGACTGTCTGAACAAGTTCCCGCAGTTTTGTGGACAAAATTTCAGATGTTTTCCATTGCCTGCTTCCTAGGATGCAGAGATTGACTTGTCCCAAGTTCACCCAAGTTCGCCAAGATGGGACTAGAACGCATGATCACCCAGTTTCTAGCCTTCTGCCTTAGTCATTGCACTAAACTGATGCTGGCTCTCTTCCTCGTTCTCTTTCTGGTCTCAATTGGTCATTACTAAAAATAAAAAAAAGGAAAAAAAATCCTGGAATTGTGAATAGTGTAATGCGCATGTCAACCCAGTATGTAAGAGAAAAGAAACAAAGCAAATTTAGTGCTAGAAATACACCTTTACTACACAGTGCATTTTTAAACCATGGAATTCATTGCTACCAAAGATCTGATTAGCCAATTATTTAAATTTAATAGTGAGTGTAGCTATCAAAGGGTTGATGAGTATATAACACCTTCATGTTCCTAGGCACCAAACTATTTGCTAAAAACAACTGGAAGAGTGCCATTACCCTCTTGTGTTGTTTATGAGCTTTTGGGATGCTTTTGGTTGCCATTGTGTGACTCAAAATGTTGACCTTGATTTGTATTTGTGTTGATCCAGCTGAATTTTTTCTGCTATTCTTCTTTAACTACCTATTCTAGGTCTTTGTTCTTAGAAAGTCATGAATCTAAACAAATATGGTGGCTTCCAGGTAAGGATAGATGTGGGTTAAGGCAGAACAATGAGAGTATTTCACCAGATTTATTGCAGAAATGTTTGAAGATTTGCAAAAAGATGACTGAAGTGTGAACAACTCTATTATGAGGGACAGCACTGGCCTGAACCAGTTTCCAGGTGATGAAAATGTCTGCAGAGATAAGAAGAGATGGCCTCTTGCACTCTGGAAGAGCTTCTTGCAAGGAGATCATGGGAACTGAGACTCTTGTAGTCAATTGTCAGCTGAACAAATTGGGAACTGAGAGATTTATAACATGTCCTTAATTGCTGTGGACCTTAATGGACATTTGACCAGCTTTCTTAAACATCTTTGGACTTAATTACATTAGGAGAAATAAAGTATTCTAAATGGTAGTGAAGATCAAAGATTGGATACCTTCTTTTTGAAATTAAGAAGAGGGGGGGGAGATACTATTTAAA